AGAGGAAGACCCCTAACGAGATGGATTGGCCAGGTGGCATCATTGATGGACTCAAGTGTGGCAGCAGTAGTGAGGTTGGCCCAGGATCAGACATTGTTTTGTTCTGCTGTGCATGGGGTCTCTATGAGTCGGTTCCGACTCGATGGCACCTGACAACAACAACAACATCCTTTCTAGAATGTCCTTCCTCCTGGATACAAGCTAGCTATATATATGAAATATTCATTTGGGAGTATTTTCTAAGGTATCAATCTGTCTCCTCCCTCCTCAGCTCCATCACCACCACCACCACCAAAATGTGATTTTCAATGCACTTTTCTGTGTAAACGTCATGTTTGGATTCTGAGAGAGCCCATGATAAAGTCGGTTTAATAGTTTGGGGTTTTTTCCCCTTGAAACTGTGCTCTATAAATTTATGCTCTGTAAATTCCAAACTTACATAGTCATGAATGGATGATCACCCAGATCAACATATCCTGATACACAGGTAGGATCATGATGGGAAAGATCTCTAGTTCTCACAGGCAATGAGGACACACACAGAGTGTGAGTATACAAAAGGTGTCTCTCCCTGTCCTCAAGAGTCCTGGTGTGGTGCTATAGGACTGCCAAATGAAAGGTTGGCAGTTCAAACCCACCAGCCTCTCCTCAGAAACCCTATACAAGGTAGCCATATGTGTGAACTGACAACAACAACGAAAGCAGCAACCTGTCCTCAAATCTTTCCCTACTGGGTCTTCCATGATGCCTGAAATGCAGATCAGCAAAACAGATCCTTTTCATTAAGATGTTCTCTCTAGGAGGGTCCAAGTAATGTGAACTACGCAGGCGTATATTGACTGACTGAATTGTCACTTAGCAGAGTACATTACTGTGGAACAATGGTAGTCAGATCAAGTGTGGTGGAACCAAGGGCTTTAGAAGTTCTGAGCTTTGGATTGGGGTGGGGAGGGGAAGGGAGGTAGGTAAAAACAGTCCAAGATCAAAACAGACAAGACAGCGAGACAAACAGAACAACCGTCAGTCATTTCACAAGTCCTTTCCACACATTATCTTCCTGAATCCTTACAGCAGCCCTGCAAGGTAATGTTATTTTCTATCTTCTATAAATGGGCTCAAAGCTTAAGCAATTTGCCTAGGTTTCTAAAGGCAGTTTAAGTGATGCAGCCAGGATTCACATGCACATCTGTTTGACCAGAAAACCTAGCTTTCACCCTAAATCAAGCTGCATCCTAGGACAAAGGATATTCTAGAAAGAGAGGTGGTGGGTGTCTACAAGAAGAACTCACAATGAAAAGATTAAAAACCCAAATTCAAGTCTTTGGCATGACCTTCTCTCCAGCATACGCCTTCCAGAGCTCTGTCTCCAGAGCAACATTCCAGTTTCACTGCTTTGATTTATTTAAAATCTAAAAGGTGGCAGACACATCACCAGTATGTGAAGAACATAATTTTGTTTATTTCATCTGAGGTCTCCCTGAACTTGGAAATTTTGGCTTAAACCCCTGCCCCATAATTTCTACCAGTCCAACAGACACGGGTTCTCCACCCTGCCTGGTCTCTCTGAGTCCTCACTCTCCCTGTCTCAGCAATCCTTTCCTCCACTCCAGATCCACCTAGTCATGGGTCCCATCCATTGACCTAGATTATTCCAAGAACCACTCATCCATTCACCAGTGTGAATAAAGCAGATGTTGCTGGAGCATTGGGGTGATAGAGAGCTTTAGACACACAATCTGTCTACCACCCCACCACTCACCTTCTCAGCAGGACTTCCACCACTAAGATTGGATTCTATCTCTCTCCAGAGTCCCCTCATGTCTTCTTGCTACTAACAGTCTCCAGTTCCTGCCCTCTCTGGCTCCTTCTAACTCCAGCTCTGAAACAGAATAAAGCCACTGAGAAATTTGTTTTCCCACTGATATGCAATTTGTCATTACTCATCCACAGAGGTGGAAAGAGCTACTGCCGGTGTTTATTCTTTAATGCAATGTTGATTCCCCATTATACCTATTTTTCAGATGTCTGTATATTTACATCACCATCAATGACCTCCTTCTGGGATGAGAGGCAGCTGGTATTTTCAAAAGCCCAATCATTGTCTATTCACAAATGGCACTCGCTTAATTTTTTTTTTTTTTTGCTATCTGTCATGACAGCCAAGCAACTCTAGAGTTGGCTGGTAAATAGAATCTCCAGTGGTGTTAACATGCCAGTATTATTGTTCATCAACAAGAGGATATTAGCAATGATTAGTGTGAACAGAAGCTCACTTTGTAAATACTGGCTGCAAAATTCAAGCCATCCTTAGTTTAAGAGCCACTCTTCTGACCGACAAATATGAAATTTGCCTACCACACTCCCAAACAAAAGTAAAAAAGAGGAAGTACCATTTAACAAAAGATCTAAAAACTTCC